TTCTCTCTTTTTTATTTTCGGCTGCTTTTAGGAGACAACACCATTATCTCATATAACTTTAAAAAACCAAGAAGGAATCTCCACACGTCCCAAGACCTGAGCACGGGCTTTAGAGTTTATGCAAGTATAGCTAGTTTTTTGTTTTGGCGTATAACTGTCTCCAATACAAATACTTCTTCTGAGCTAAAATTAAAGAGGACCGACGGTTATGGCTAGCTGATTCACCCCCCGCATTTTCTCCGTGCGTGGTGTCATGTGTTAATGACATACAGAATGCTCATGGTGATGCTATGCTTTTTCAAGCTTTACAGTAAACGGCTTCTCGTGCAGCACCGACCGGCTTTTTACCGCCAAGACACAACATCGTGTTCCGGAAGTGATACGAGTGCGAGGTAGCAACGCAGATAATGTGTATCATTGACTAATTCTTCGTAGCGTCCATAGGCTGTAGTCATTGACAGAGCACCGGTTTTGCGGATGAGGTCTTCGGTGGCCTTTGTGGATTTACTCACATATTATATATAATATGATCGACGAATAAGAAATTTGATGTGAATTTTGATCACATAACCTTTATTTGGTATTTATTAGTAATCAAAATAACAAGTTTCGTTGACAGGGAAGAGCATTTGAATACACTATTAAAAATCTTTTGAGAGAAAAGGGTGCAGAAGTTTGTCACTATTGGTAAGTGTTTCGCTGAGTAGTTGATGTATCCAAGGGTACGCTGTCACTAGGTGTAAATCAGAGTTTTGAAAAGTACTTCGTGGCCATAGTTTGCGGATCGGGTAGCCATTTAGTGTAGATATCCGAAGGTACGCTATCACTAGGTTGGGTTTCAGAGACGATAGGATGTACAATTACGAATTGAAGCGCATTGTCGCCACAACTTGTGCTGTGCACGTTCTTCAACTATGATGATGCATTTAATCATTTTTCACTTACGGGATACAAAAAATTAAAACCAAACACGACGACGAAATCCGAGAAAATCTTTAAAGCCAAAAACGACAAGTATCGACAGTAATAGTAACAGTTCGCCGTGCGCTTTATGAAGAGTATAAACGTTGTTGCTTTTCTTTAAACCATGGTCAATGTACTTTCTCTCAGTTGCGGTGGCACTGAGGAACACAATCATCAGCCTTCAATGTTGAGAAAGCAATAAAAGAAGAGTAATTTCGCAAAACGTGCACCGAAAATTTGATATTATCTATGCTCAACTGAAATCAAGTTGTGATGGATGAATCACGTTTCTTTTCAATCTTTTAAAATAAAGTGTGCAATATTTTGTTCATCTCTTTGTGGAGGCCTTTCTCTTACATCGCGTGAAATGTTCAATATTCGAATCTTTTCGTTTTCGGGATACACGATTTGATCATTTTCATTATTATTATACGACACGTGTTATTATCCTAGCCACGTGGGTAAAGTTTCCTTTAAACTTTGCCAGCTCCAGTCTCTTTGATTTTTGAGAAAAAGTAAAAAAGCCCGACATATGTAATTTGAAGGTTTGCGCGCGCCCTCTCTTTGACTAGCGAAAGGGATCTCCCATCATTGCGATAAGAAATTGTTGAGACCGCCGATAAAGTCTATAAACAAATAAGCTTTGGAATGTACGGAAGTAAATTTGACAACGACAACATATGGTTTTATTAATATTCTAAGACGCAAATATTGATAAGACTAACTAATGGCAACAACGATACGTATTACCGTCAAAAGAAACTGCAAGCGAGCTTGATGGATAAAATGTGAGATTGCTATGCCTATCTTTGATCAAAGTTTCAATTATGAGATTAACGCACATACGATAATCATTCAACTTGACCAATAAACTATTGTGGCTTGTGTGGCGTATATTGTCAGGATTACGACTATTCAGGCACGAAGTGTTTACTACCCCATGATAATTTATACAATAACGATTAAGTACCATTATTTATACATGTTATTATCATGAGGAGAACATCAACATCTCGATTTCTTTTCACGAGCTTTGCTTAACACCTTCAAACAAAAAGGAAAACTTTCACTGAAACGTCCGAAACGTATAAGGAGGAAACAACTCACAACAATAGACCATGTAAGTAATATATTAGACCATACCAGTAAACAAAGACTACAAAGGCGCCTGCATATCACAGTGCATAGAAGTAATCAAAAATAGTCTTTCACCTCAGCCCGCAGACATACTGTGACTATAAGTTGCAACTCGCCGGGCCTGCATAGTCACCATTTCTAACTCACACGCCCGCAAGAATGCCCCCAACAACCATCCAAAACGTTCCGCTCACTTCGCACCGCTGGACTTATGACTTTGATAGCAGTCGTCAGCTTGGGTGCATTCCCATGCCTCGATTAAAAGAAACCGGAGTATACATATCTGGATGTCTGGTAAGCAGGAAAAAGGTTAAGATATGTGGTAGAAGCAGAATGCGGAGAGAAAATGTTTAATTCAAAATGAGATTGTCCATACATAATGTATAATGCCACCTACTGCAGACGATAACCATAAAAGATGCACATCCCATTTACGACTTCATTTTAAATTAGACTACGCTCTTTCCAATCGTCATTCTCATTTCTCGCACATATATCATCTCACACATGTCCTCCATCACTTTTGCTCCCCCATCTCCTCTCTCCACAGTTTGCGATAGGTTGGGTAGTGTTTATCGACTCAATAATATACTCTAATACTTCAGAATGGTTGGATGTGAGCATCAGGTTCGAAGACTGGTTCAACGGTGTTATCGCTACTATCGGAATGATTATGTAAGTATATAGATTAGAAATACTGCAAAGGTGGCTATTTGAGAATCGTCTTTTTAAAGATGGTAAGAAATGGTGGGTTTAAGGACGAGTATGTTAGAATTTCATGATACAGAAACGGTAGCGATGACCACATTCTTTATCTGGCGGTGATTGAGAGAGATAACAATCACAACGACAACAACCAACAAACAACAACCAACAGAGAATAGCAACAACAACGACAACGACAACAACAACAACAGCAGCAGCAGCAGCAGCAGCAGCAAATAGCAATACTACATCAATAGTTATATCAATAGAAATAGAATTTTACCTGATACTATTTGTAATGTAACGATTCTTCTCACTTTGATTACAGCGTAAACTCACTTGACAAAAGCTGTCTTTCGGAACACGAGTACCTGTATACAAGATCGAGGCTCACACTCTGGAAAGCGCGTCTTCTGCTATTTATTGGATTTTTCATGATGGCGTGTGGTGTCTGTGGATCGACTGTCAGTATCTGTAATTCGTGTCATCTGTATACATGGTATGCCCTGTAACCTTATTTACACTCATGTTCCGTTCGTCTCTGTAGGCTATTCTTGTGTATAAGTACCTTATTCCAGGTATACACATGCCCGAGTTGTACATGGGAATTGCGATTGTCATACAATCGTGGTCGATATTCCTAAGGTAAGACCTACATCGTATACAAGCGTCAAGACGACTACGTGTCATAATAACCCATATTCATCATTTTCGTTCTGCGTGTAGTTCGATTGTGTTGTGGATAGCACAGAACACGGGTAGTCCATACAAGTATACTTTCATTCTCTAAGCATGGGTCTGCAGGGTCAAACGAAAGGTGGCAGGGTTAATTATTCGATTGATGCCATTTATGTTAAACTTGGATGTATTTTAGCTTGCTCCTCCTCCTGGGTCTGTATTGATGACGTTATGGAAGCGTAATATATTAATTGTGTGCGTATTTAATCTAACACAAATCAATTTCTTGGAGTGTATGACAGTACGTTGTTCCACCCGCGATTTTAATTATAGTTTTTATTTTTTTTGTGCGTAAAAGAAAAGAATGATTAACAGTCAATTGTGACTTGCTTCTAAAAGAGTCTGTCTATACTGCAATGTCTTTGGATTCATAAATAAATTAATAACCAACACAACCACCTAATTAGCACAAGACTCATATAATCAATCAATTTTAAAGAAAAAAAAAAAGAACGTTGTTCCATCAATCCATCCGCATTCTTATATTAAATAGGAGTTTCTCAACGTTGCGCCACCAACTCTGATAGACGCAACATATAAAATCTTACAGAGTGAAAATTTTTGGCATATAGTATCATACAACTAGGAGGCAGAATTACACTTGAGCATTTTGAGGTGCTGAATGTGTTGATATACCGATGATTGCTACATTTGGGGTCTTGTTGTGTAATATGAATTCGTCTGGTGGAAGGACGAACCCGGCTGGTTCATGTGTCTAAATTGGTGAAATTAGTCCCACGCGAGGACGTAATAGTATTAGTAATGATATTTCCTAATATGTCCGATGCATAAGTGATCATTAACTTATTAGGATAAATAACTTACAATATTCTGGCATACACCCTTGGAAATATTCCCATTTTTCCTGTTCGTAGACAACGACCACGCCACCAATCAGAATTAACTGATGAGAAAGATAAGGATTAGTCATTGTATATTTCAAATTCGTGATATTTAGGTATATGTCACCCTTCAAAGTAATTAGTCACTTGAAAAACAAAACGACGGGCAAGAGCAATCGGAAAGTTTATACTCGTACTATCCCGATCGTCTCCTCCGCCGTCATAGTTTCCCCGCTTAATATATTTACCGAATTCGATGACTTCCAATATGTCTCCCTTTCTAAACGTCAGATCACCATCATCATCTCCTATCCGGAACAGTTAAATCTTGTTAGTTGAGTCTGATCTTTACAGTATTTGACACCCCCAAACAAACACACAAGCGATGATGATAGTTTTATAATGACAACAGAAGAGAATAGTATCAATTCCATTGTCGATAATTTTACCGTCTGCCACAAAAAAGAATAGTATCAATTCTATTGTCGATAAAATTTACAAAACGACCCATCGCTCACACGAAAGAGGAAAAAAATTATACATTTCCCCCTCTCCTCAATGTAATCCAACGTAATCCAATCTAATCCAATCTACTTTACCAGAAAATTCCCATAATGCCTCTACGATAGCTAAATAAGCCGGTGCTGCAACTGACGATGCTCTCCTTGATCTTGGTTGTTGCGATTGTGGTTGAATATGTTGTCCGTTTTGTGACTGTCCACGTTGTGGCATCGGCGCATCACCTGCTGGAGGAGGCAATGCTAAACTAGATATTGCCGTAGTACGTGACGGAGCATAAGTTTCTGTAGGGCTAGACGCACTAGAATTAGGATACATGTCGTTGGTGGGACGGGGATGTGTATTAGAATTAGCTACATGTGATGATGTTGTCGACGGTGCCGGTGATCGCATCATGCGACGATTCTGAGATGACTGAGATGTGATATCGCTATGAGTTGTAACAGCTTCGTGGTCTGTTGTCGATGCCAGTGATCTCAAGGACCTCTCTTCCGCTTCTCTCATATATTCCATCCTCCCGTCCAAAAAATTTGAATCTTCTTCGGTACTACTAGTTCGTCCGTACGCAATCGCCGACTCATCTTCAAATCTTTCACTTACATTTCTCTTCATAATTTCCTCGTCCACATCGAAAAAATCATCTTTCATCAACGGAGAATCTGTCGGCGAATCTGTATTTGATGTCGAATTGACGCTTGCCCTCGAAACTGTTACTTGCGTGTTGATTTCTGACGGAAGATTATGCATACCTACTGGAGATGGAGAAGGTGATGCGGCAGGTGTATTATTGGGAATGAAGTGAGTTACAGGTTTTGGTAATTTGTCTATTATCTCATCGAAAACTACGCGGTTGATATAGCCACCGTCGCATAAAAACTGTAAGTCACGGATTATGCCTTGGAGTATGTACACTACGTGCGGGTCGCATGGGAATTTGATGTTGTTGTTAGATTTTGTTGAGGAAAGAGAAGGTTGGTGTTTTAAAGCCGTTGAAGTAGCCATTTTTCTGTTGACAATCGGGTTTTTGTTAGGGTTTGGCTGCGTATAAATTAGGTGGATATAGATATATATATAGTTAGGCTATTCAACGTGGTATGCAGTATAGTTGGTTTCTGTCTTTCCTTCTTGGTTTTTTAAAGTTATATGAGATAATGGTGTTGTCTCCTAAAAGCAGCCGAAAATAAAAAAGAGAGAATTATTCATTTGAAAACAATGAACCTAGTCTCATTATTATAATGCATATTTATATGTATATGTGTATACCACAATGCAGCTCTATGCAGCCTTGTTCAGCTTAACTCACGTGTGCCATTACGCTATTTATGATGGCAGTTATAGTTGTTATAGTTTACCTGGACAATACTGATATCCCTTATAAAGCCTTTCAGTCTCTTTCAAGTTGGTCTTTTTTTTTCCCAGTTTTTATCGTTCATGGACCAAAAAAGCTTTTAAGAAAAGAAAAAGCAAAAGTCCGAAAGCTTAAATTTAAAGAAATTCAAATAGGTTACTTTTTTTTCCCATCGAACAAACGCAACTTACCAATAAACGCCAAGCCAACATTCTAAAGTGGGTACAATATACAAGGGAGTACGAATGCAAAGGTGGGCCGATAAGGGAGAGCATGTCATGAAGTAATTTATTGTTTAGTTGGACATGACAATTGGTGCATGTCATAACCTTAATTTATCTCTGTCAAACGGTCTTGTTATGTCATATTTGTTAGTAACCAGTTCGTAAACCAATTATCACATCTCGACTGCGTTAACTACCTACTTACTAATGTGACAAAGTTAGCCAATTTGCGGAACAAGCTATTTTCATCTCCGAAAGCTTTTTTAAAAATGCGGGGGGTGAGTTAGCAGCATAAGCAAAGCATAGCGAGCGAGCATGGGGTGGCATAGCCTCATTTCATAATGTGATACCAATTACATAAAGTTTACATTTGTGTAATAAAATTAATCTGTCACGTGGGTTAATCGCTGAGCTTTTGAGATACGAATTCTTTTAATTTGTAGTAAGCAACAATCAAAACAGGCAATTCGCATTGTAAGGCCAAGGTGTTCAAGCGAAACAAAGAATGGGATTCTTACCAGAATGAATTTAGAAAAGTCGGTGATTGCACAATGATAATTGTATAACCATGCTTACCTTTTTGCTGACTATATGAAAATACAAAAATGTTTATCATAAAAAAAAAACTGTAAACATAAACACTGATACAAAATAAAAGAAAAGAGTAATAGCAATAGAATAAAACAAAATAAAAATACAATTAACTTTAATTTGTACAACTGAATTATTGAGAATATACACTTATCGATTAGCTTTTGGGGATGTGGGAATGGGAGGGAGATGTAAATCTCAAGCTAAATAGTCAAGAGTAATAAGTATTTAAAAACTCACTTTTACAAATCGTGTTTCGATAAACCAGTATCTGACAAACATTGCTTCTCACATGAAACAAATTTACCCTGAAAATTCCCCCCAAAGCTATATAGAAATCATTAATATGTTTTTTGTTTCTCAACTAAAATAAGGCCTTAACAACCTATCGTACGCTCCGTAACTTTCTCTCACTTCATCATTGTTCTCTTCTCGTTCCACCTTAATATTATTCCACTTGACAACAAAAGGTCCTTGTATATCCATCTCTACTATTTCTCGCGTTCCTAGTGTCCTTCCTGCATCTTGTCTTCCTTCCTCCATTTTGCTTCCGATTTCCATCTCGATTTCCTTTTCCATTGACGCATTGCTTTGCTGCGGATTATTTAGTTGTTCAACCATCATGCTCGGTCTAAAGTCTCCACCAATTACTAGTTCTTCGACTCCCAGAAATCTCTTCTTTATCCTTTTGACTATCCCCCTTGGTGTAGGAATCAACGGAAATAAAAATATAAACCCGAGCAGTATATAGTCGATTGCATCCCACTTGACGTCCATGAACGGTTGCTTTTGTGTGCTAAACACTGCTATTGCGAAATGGGCAATGAAAAATGCTACGACTTGGAGTAATCTAATGATGGAAATGGCGGTTCGCTCGGGTTTCAGCTCTTTCTCTTTCTTCATTCTTTTTAGTGGCACCGCTGCATATATCAAGCTCACTAACCCCGTTGCAAGTGCTACGTAAATCTCGGCTTTTCTTAATGTTTCATTCGGCACTGTGCTGTCGTCCAACACCATCCCTACTACATTATACACAGCCAATCCCAGCACACCAAACGTTCCTACAATTGGGGTAAATAATAATATGTTTCTGATAATATCATATGATCTGTAAAAATTGGTTCCAACATGTAATACAATATAGCAAGAGAGAATATTTAAAAGGGCAAATATAATGATATAAGAGTAAATGATCCAAGGCGTACGAAAAATGTCCGAAACTGAGCACAAGACCGAAATGACAGAAAGAGCAAGCGTCAAGATGGCACCGACGAATGACGTAAAGTGGAGAAGCGCAGGCGACACCAATAGACGGTGGAAGACATAGAATGACGAAGATAATGCAAGGAGAGCGGATACAGATGCAAGAATCAATGAGACTGATATCATTTAGGTGTCGGATTGATTATCTCGCCCGAGATGTGCAGGTAGCAGGTAAAATTGTAACAGCGCAGTATAAAGGAGTGAAACTGCGCGTGTTATTCAAAAGAGATTTAGGTTAATGGTGATGATGAGCGAGAGTGGACAGAGCGTTGACGCACTCTTTGATAAGAAAAGATGGGGCAAAATCAATTCGCCTTTTTCTTACTCCGGGTAAGGTAAGGTAATTTCGTGGTGATCGTAGATGTGTTTCAGATGTGATTGAACGTTCTTGAAACATAAAATATTGGTATGCGTTTTCTTCCTCTTCTTACTTTTTCCCTTTAGCTCGATCCCTCCCCGATTCAGTTTTGTTCTTTTTGTTATTCTGCAGACGACACAGTCGTCAATCTCCGTTAAATCTACCAGCGATTTACGTCCACACCAGAACTAAAAAAAGTATTCTCCTTGTCCAGTTTAATGGGAGTCGAGAGAAACAGAATAATCGTGCTGGCGAAGAGGAGCAACAGGATTCTTATAAGGGACACAGAAAGTAATGCTTAATAATAATGATATATTGTGGTTGCTCTCACATTTTGATATCACAAGTGTATAACAAATGATGCAAGATTTGGACATCGGGCAAAATCTGGTATGATGTGCGAGAGATAGTGTTTCAGCTGGGTGATAAATGGCAAATAGAGTTACCCGAATAATAGAGATTATACGCTATATACAGTATATCATATTACACAACATTCCAAATAAGTGTTTATTTGCCATTCTTGTTCAAAATCTCATGAATATTATATATTATTATTTATACTGTCCAAAGTTTATTATGCATCAAATTACGATCACTCACTTATGTGCTTGTACAAACATCCAATACTGGCTTGATTTTCGAAATAGACATTCATTATTGCTTGCATAAAATAAGTCTGTAACATTCCTTAACCGTCTGGGAACGACAATTACATGTAATTTTGCTCGCAGTCTAGATTTTTATGGTCAATAAGTTAATAACAGAAAAGAAATGATATAACAAATTGGATTAAATATTGTTAATTAGAAACTGTAACGGCCCACTGTAGACAATTGGGACCGTAATTCTGATTTAATTAAAAAAAAACCTTTCATTTTCATCGCCTGCTTACGTTTTATAAATCATTTTACACCCGACAGCGGGCTTGTAGAGAGAGCGTAATTTGCCAGATGTCAAAAAGCTAGCTCTTAAAGGCGCTGTTTTTGACAAAAGTGTGCAACATTAAATGGCGGGGAAATATCACATTGTATGAGTTAACATTGTCGAAAGCGTACTATTCTAAATTAGTGATGGGCTTGGCGCCGAGTCAGGAAAATCGTTGGACACAGGAAAATAAAGGAACAAAGACTTGTTCATTTTAACATTCTTCAACATCTATGTAACAAGATAATCAATACCCTGCGCTACATACAGTTCAGAATGCTTACATCGAATGAACTACCGCCACCACATTGACAGAATGAGACCGTCTATAGGTTTGTATTGCCTTAATGGTTGACCGAAAATTCTTGTTCGAAGAATGTTTTTTGTAGCATTGTCTAAAGGCGTACTGGCATCTACAGTTGTAAGCTCATTGAGCCCAACATGTATTTATTGTTACTACTTGGGAAATCATTTGTCGAATACAGTACAAAATTTATTTCGGCCGAGATGCTGGGATTTCTCGAGCTCGCAGTCTTGTCTTTAGCGTCGCATCACTCTTAGACTATGTATAGACATAGTCAATGATAGAAATTTGTCATTTGTATGACAGGACAGTTTGCAAAGAATATCAATAAAATTCGTTCAATAGCCATGCCATGTAATTGACTAATTGGATTCATTATCGTTATCAATATTATCGTGCCAAGAGTAAAAATACATTGATATTTCTGGTCGAATTTCCATATTTACCATTGTATTTATAAGTCTTACGTTTCGCTAATGCGACAGGACTTCTTAATGTACGTTCCATTTCGAATGATGCTGCTTAACAGAAAACGTTTGCCATGTTTGGCAACACTTCGTTATAATGAAGCGAATAACACTGCAGCTTGCAATCGTCTAAGCCTTGTACGTGAGTACTAATTTACCGAGATGACACAATTAACTTGCTCAATAATGGTAAAGCATATTAATATACTAAACTTGTGAGACTTGTGTCAACGCTGCAATGCATACCAATCGCACGAGATGTGACACAGTGCACCAAATACAAGATATTAATAACTATAAATGGTATATAAGATTACTATGTAAACGTAAAGTTAATACCTATTGGTATTAACTATTTCATAGAAACTGTCAACCTGAAGAATGATAAGAAGGAAACTGTACCAAATACCTTTTATATTAAATAGTTTCGCGATTATAAAGAAGAGTGAAATGCAAAGTTATGAATTATAGAAAACAAAGTTCAAAGCTTAAAAATTATATTATAATGATGATAAAACTATTTTTAGTTCTGCCAGTTTTAACAAGTTAATAACCATAACGGCAACCTGAATTTGGGAACACTAAGATCAAATGTATTTGAATCATAATTTTTTAAGCAAAATATATGAACATTTTCAGATAATTGATTACTCCAACTTGACACCCATATCGAATTTGGATGTTATACACGTAATTTGACATTTATTCTCATTTGCGTTAGTAAAAGAAAACAACTCTAACTACATATTACCATCAAAACCATGTTACGTGTTCCTTAGTGTTTTTGTTTAGCTTTTGTCTGATTCAAAAAATAATGTCTATTCCTTCTCGATTATCTTTTACGTCTGTTCGCGAACAAATATTTAGCAATGTCATCTATATTTCTAATTATTGGTTGGTTCCTTTTTGTTAAAGTTTTGCTTAATTTCTGGCACGTTTTTGGAATATCTGAATGAAGAACTTTTGGTTTTCAAATAAGCCTCTAATGCTAGCGTTATAAGCTAAGCCGCAAACTAATGTCACTTTAACTGTTAACAAATATTTTGTAACTGGTTCTTAATCACATACAGTAACTGAATTTGTTCACAAATAGTTTCAATCTTGCTCACAAGCATTTTTTAAATAAATTAACCAGTAAAGAAATGTAATAAATTTTTAGGGAATTGGAGTACGTACGATTATTATTATGTCAGATGTATTTTATCCTTTCCGCCAAGTTTGTTTTAATGTGCAAACAAGACGCGGATAAATAGAATCTATTTCAAAGTCGGCATTTGTCATCGATTAGTAATTTATATAAACAAAATGCTATAAAAATGTTTTAACTTTCCTCGTTCATGTGGTTAAGTTATTGCTTATTATTATTATTATGAGCTTAGCTATTTCTGACCAATTCTTGATGTAACGTTAGACAAATACAATAATATTATAGTTATGATCTAAGTTTTTAAAACAGAATGCGACAATCGAATTACCATTATTAATTGGTATTCGGGACAACAGATTCGTCCAAAGACGAAATAATCACGTGTAAGTAAATAAACTAATGAGCTTGGAGCGTTTAGACATATAGACAACAACAACATCTTATCTGGGGCAGATTGCCAGACAAAGTGAACGTTTTACTATGCGAGAGACTGATGTGGCTAAAAGTTGACCAATACTAATAGTCTTACACGCGATGGGTCAAGCTCTTCTCATTATTGCCTGAGTGCGATTATCGATTATACAAATTGTAATTGTATTATCCATTACGCATACGGCCCGCCACGATAATCACATGTCTAGACGATTATTCTCGACTCTCCGTATTCATTCTGAGATTCGAGGAAGCTTAACCCAACGAGTATAGTTCGAGCACTTTGCATGGTGTCATGTCAAACTGCTACTCTTAGTTCAGTATTAAGACATTGACTCTTCGCAAGGCGTCCGTCGACATAGCCTCGTTCCAAAAATCATGTTCCCATAAGCATATTAGTGAATGTATGTCATTACGATTGATCTGACGCATTATTTCCGCTAATACGTGTTTTGCTATAAACATATGAATATCAACCTCTCAGAGTGATACACATTTGTATTTGGTTTAAACCACGAACGATCTCCGTCGCTTTTCTCTCGCCCCTTGCATTAACTTCATGTGGGCGATGTGTAAGGGGGTGACTATGCGCCACAAATACTAGACCAAGTTTGCGCGCCATTGCTTTACGTTTCACCATCTTTACCGATTTGCCAAATTTCGTCATTAAATATTTCGTCTCATCATAAATAGCCCCACATGACTTTCCTACGGACGTGCGACTATCTCTTAGCGCTCACATTCGACATATACTAATACAGTGTACAAAGAAATACTACCCGTGTTACAATAAACAAAATTACTTAGAACTACCCAATGGTTTATCGTATAACAATTACCTCCAACTAATTAACAACCGTCTGTTCAATTCTATTCGAATTAAAGTTTAATAGATCTCGATTGGCTTAATATCTGGTCTATAATCATAAATTTGAGCCCTCCCCTGTAATACAAGCATTTTAGCAAAGAGGATAATGAATGGTTTTTCTTCCGGCTCGATAATTGCGTTACGATCTAGAACATCAACTTCTTTTCACGACAATAACGCCATTTGTATAATCATAGATTTTTGGTTAAAAATTTACGTCAAAGTGTATCATTCAGAAATATCTGTGACGATGCTGCGCATTGACAAGTTGGAGCAACACTATCATTTAATCAACTGTCAGTATAAGGATTTTAAATAAAGCCACGACATGTATTTCTGTGTATTAACGAATTTATATAAGTGTTCAGGTTATATCGTTTAGCTAACGAGTACAGCCGGATAAATTTTATACCTTAGATTTGAAGACAACCGTGATTGCAAAAACATTTGCATGTTTTTCCAGGCAAATAAATTAAAGTTTTCAAAGCCAAACTGTTTTAATTGTTAGTAGATGCTTACTGAGTTAATTTGAAATTTAATACTCCCCGCCCCAAACAAACAAGTTTTTATCATCAACAACTAACTTTATTCTTTAATAAAAGGTAGAAATACTGGTAGTTTTA